CCCTTGCGCTGTGATTAACCATAACAAACACAAGAATGGTAACAACACCAAGTATGACTAATTCGCCGCCAAAAAAAACACGGACCAGTTGGCCACCCACTTTGCACTGCCAAGTTTCTCCATAGTATCTCAGACATGCGATGCCTATCAAAACGAACCTGAAACAAAATACTCTTTATTATTTTATTAATTTTTTTTTTCACTGCTTGCGCAATCAGTTATTAAATGATAAGTTAAAATAAAAATAATAAAAATAAATAAATACCAAACTACACGGATAAATATTTCAAAGAGGCCAGGATAAACAAGATCATCAGTAGCTGCAAGCCATTTGCGACCAAAAAGATGCAGCGCAGGCATTATTCTTTAAATAAAAAATAAAAATAAATTAAAAAAAATTAATTGATTTTTTTTTTATCGAAATCTATTATACTAATTGTAAATATTACGCAACGCGGGCTGTTATTACTGATTACTGATTTGATTACATTCTCCTCTCGGTCACGCTTCGAATGAAAACTACTGAATTCTCTGCACTCAGGATATGTCTAATGTTCACTCGATTACAAATTTATTTTTATTATGTATGTTTTTTTTTTTTTTTATAATTACTATTATTTATATTTAATTTTACTCTTGCATATTAATTAGATTCTGCTTAATTTACGTAAGCACTTTTTCAGCCGCTGACGTCCGAGCTGTCAGAAGAAGATCATGATCATCGTGAATATTTTATACAAAAGAGTCATGATTACTAAGTGTCAATCGATGATTGTTTATGCTGGGTATTGCATGTGTAAAAAATTTATTTATCTCAGGTAGATATACTTTTTTATGGGTGGCAGTGTCATAGCTCATCTGTCCGCGGATAATTATTAGGTATTTTTTTTTTGTTTAATTACTAAGAATATTTTATTTATTGTCGATACTTGGAAATTGTTTTTATTTATTTTATCGGAATTTTCTGCTAATTTGATATATTTTATTTTTTATTTATTATTTTAATTATTGTTCGTTATTTCTAGATAAATTATCTATATTATTGAGGGAATAAGAAAAATTTTGTGTCCTGGATAGTTAGATGAAATCGGTTTTTTTTTAGTGAAATTAAGTGTCATTGCAAAGGTCTTAATTTGAATGTGTGCATTTTCAAGGTTTTATATCATTCTCACCGATAATCAATTTATGATGATAAGTATTGAAGTTGCAATCGAAAATTTTCTATCTCTAGTTACATAATTGAAAAAAAAAAAAACTTGTATTATGTGAACTACTGACATTTTTCGAGATATAAGCTCACCCCGATGGTGTACTCATCAAGAGCTTTCATTTGAGTACCCACATGCATTTTTGATATATTTTTCATATATACATATATATAAATATATAAAATATATGAAAAATTGATGTTGGTACTCAAATGAAAGCTCTCGATGAGTGTAACATCGGAATGAGCTTATATTTTTAAAAACGTCTATAGTTAAGAAAGTACAGTGCAATTTAATATAATTAAGAAATGACCTTGTATCTTAAGAACTGTTGATATTTTTTGAGATATAAACTCTTCCCGATGTTACAC